CGTGATGAAGTTTGATTCTAATGTAACGTTAGGTTCTGTTGTAATTGGATGTATTCTGATGTTTTATGCGTGCAACAAATTACATCGTGATGAAGTTTGATTCTTATGTAACGTTTGGTTCTGTTGTCATTGGATGTATTCTGATGTCAAATTTTACATCGTCAAGACGTTTGATTCTGATGTAACGTTTGAGGCTAATGTATTTTTATGTACTTGGACGTCACACTGAAGTCTGAATACATTAAGGGTACAGCAATACACATTAAAATTTAATGTATTGAAGATGTCTGCTGATGTTTCCTACATTACAATTTCTATTCGGGAAGCTAATCGATTCACCCCTCGAAACATAGGAAAAACCAATAACCCCTCATTTTATCTGTCAAACTTTTATAGCGAATCAAAACAAACATTGCGTAGTACTAGAATTTCGACTAGAATGGGGTACGTTAATCGTTTGCTTGGGACCAATAGGCTATTCAAGTAGTGAGCCAATTTAAAATCGTTAGTTTCGTATTGATTGTTGGATATATGCCGTCCGCAAGGTAGTATCAACAATCAATACGAAACTAACGATTTTAAATTGGCTCACTACTTGACTAGCCTATTGGTCCCAAGCAAACGATTAACGTACCCCATTCTAGTCGAAATTCTAGTACTACGCACTGTTTGTTTTGATTCGCTATGAAAGTTTGACAGATAAAATGAGGGGTTATTGGTTTTTCCTATGTTTCGAGGGGTGATCGATTAGCTTGGGACCGGAGAGAGTACCAGAGCTGAGCCAAAAATTGAGCACGTTATTTCGGGACCTTCTAGTCTTAGAGTTACCTCTATGGTAGTATCCAGTTGAGTATTTACGGCCATTGACGGCCATTAGTTTTAAAAACAGTCTCCTACTCATACGAAAACGGCGCCGAAATTGCTCGTCCGTGTACACAGGTGATTCCGCAAAGTAATCCTCCTGAAGCCGGATAGCCCCTTTCTCTGCATATCTGTTTATGTTCGGTCGCTTGCCCACCTGGGAGCCACCTCGTCCTCTTGCGATGTTTGACGGCATCTCGTACGAATAAAAAAGCATCTGCTGAAACACTTCATCTTCTTCATCGCTGGATTCGGAGAAGTAATCCAGTATCTGCTCAACGGTCTCCATTTCGCACTATTTTAATCTTTATTCGGTACTGTAATTTCCGAGGCAAATCAAAACTAAAGAGCCTGAATTTAGAAAGAGACGACATGTAAAAATTGGAACAATCGATTGTCTGTCAAAGTCATAGGAAAAGTTATTCCAATCGAGCAGAAGACCTTTTTTTTTTGTTTATTAATTTATTTGGTAAGGCTCAACCGAATTAACTTTACAGAGCCGAGGATTCTTGGTCACTATACAATACATCTTAAAAATGTAGTCAAAAGGTACAACACAATAAACACTTTATCTTCCGCTATCCAAAAAGCTTCCTCCATCAGAACTGGAGCCGCTTCCAGTAGTTTCATTGTATGGCAAATTGTTGTACGCCAACGAGGGTCAGAGCGCGTCCATTGCAGCAATGGACGCAAAACGTGGTCAGCACTCACACACTCATCACGAAACGGTTGCTTTCCAAAGTCGACGACGCATCGACCGAAAGAACTGCTGATGAAGAACAATGAGGAGGACCACACAATGGTTGCTGCCGAGAAAACAGACGATCGCGTAGCACACATCGAGAGTGGTCTGCTTTTGTCGACAGCCGAGTGAACACTGAGCAGAAGACCTGTCAAATGGATAAGATGTCGCCTTTTTATAAATTCAGGCTCTTTAATCAAAACAACCGTGCTGTCACTGTTATGAAATCGACAATATCAACGACTGGTGCGAATCTCAAAAGTCAAATTGCCACCCCATGATAGTCATCATTAATTATATGACTTGAGTAGTAGCTATACTGAAGATCCGAGAGATGTCGCCCCTTAAGTAGTAGGAAAATCATTTTGCAGTATGGAGAATATCAGAAAATCCACGATTTGTGACTAAACATGCTTTCACAGAAGGAAAAAAAAATAAACGAGTATTTACCTTATCACCACAGTAATGTACTCGTGCAGTTTTTGTGCATCTAAAACTGCCCATAAAGACGATAATCAATAAAAACTGAAAATTTTCTTGCATTTCCAAATGGTTTCCTACCATTCCCATACATTCGAAAGTGACTGGCCCTCTGGATGTGGATGATGTCAAAAACAACAAAACATGATTACTTGGTGCGTGGATGAGTTGTCAGCTTAAATAGCAGCGCCTACACGGTTAGAAAAAAGTTCCCAAAATTAAGTTTTTTTCACACATCTCAGCACTAGATGTGTGAAACCCAAAAGTAGGTAAAGCGGGTCAAAGTAATTTTCATTTACTTGTGTGCAGTTCGTATGGAATTTTCCACTAGCTTTTTAACCAAAAGTAAGTTAGTTGTACCCAACAGTAGGTAAATATGATTATACCCAACGTTGGGTTCCCACACTTTACTACCCCTGTTGAGTGGTTTTGCTCCTTCTTTTTTGACAACATTAGAAGGAGAAAATGAGACAAACTAGTCAAAAGTAGGTAAAAGTGAACGGGCCGTTGGGTACTTTTTTCTTACCGTGTGGTTAAAATAGCGGCTTTGAATAGCAACGCAATGGTGGTCTTTAGTAGAAACCATGACTAATACTGTGTGGGTTTGGCCATAAACTTTCTATTGAATCTTTCGTTCATATCGTACATAAGTGTTTATGAGATACTTGTTCTCTTAGGTCACTATTTTTACAACTATAAGTCACTATTTGGTCACTTATTTCTTCAACATGGTCACTAAAATCACTATTTTTGACAGCAGTGATCGCTACAAGTCCTGTGTCAGTTAAACAAAACACAAATCGGCTCTCGGAGCTAGTTACTCATTACACCATGCGTAAACACCATACTAGGGCCTGCATTAAAATTCATCTATTTTTTTATAATCTAAAGTAATATCCTTTCCTTACTCTATTGATTAATTGATCTTTGTTGGTCAATTGATCATTTTAGATGGTCAAGTTTTTAACCCACCACAGCATGCTTTTGGCGCTACTGTATATGGACGATCAAATGTAAAATACTGTGGTAGCCACAGCACAGTTCTGTCAAAACCTCAGCATTTTCATTGATCCATTAACGGCTCCAAGAAATGTGCAAAATATTGTGATACACTCAATTAGTCCTATTCTGCGCGGCGTGTGAGGTGAGGTGACAGTGAAGTGACAATTGTCACCTCGGATGAGGTGACTCTCCATACAAATCAAATGGAGAGTCACCTCACCCGAGGTGACAATTGTCACTTCACTAGTGACAGTGAGTCACCTCACCTCACACGCCGCGCAGAATAGGCCTAAATTATTATTCTGCACGTATACCGAATCGAAATGTGAAACACTACCTTCTGGCAAGGGTAGCAAGATATTGGATATACAAAACCCTGTGTAGTGCAGATTGTTTTCTCCGCCCGTCTCAGTGTGATAGCGAATTTGTCAGTGCGAACCTCAACTTTTGAGGTGTTTTAAAAACAAACGATCAAACTGACGTTTGTCAGAAAACAAGTAGACCCGATATTGATACTCGATCCGGGTTGGAACTGAATAATAAACAAATTTGCTATGAGAATTGTATGAGAAATTTTCTTGTTCTTATGTTCGTCACGAGAACCAACTTTTGATCGCAAATACCATGATAACTGGCTAACCAGCGAAAGCAAAACATCATAAGAAAGAGATTGCTCTGTTACCCATACCAATAAAGGTGCTGCTATTTTTGAGCAGCTATTTTCTGATGCATGCAACCTACTATACCGTTTTCTTAACGTTAATCGATCCTAAAATAAAGATGTCTAATTTTAAACTTGTCACTACTACTTTAACAAGCGTGAGGGTGCTAACAACACGGTCGTTCAGACTACTCTAATTTGAGTTGAATTTTCTGGGATTTTCCAGAAAAAACTTCTCGAATATGAGGAAAATCGATAGAGGTTTCACTCAGTCAATTAGTATTCTGCTATATTGAGTTTAACTTTCATGGAGTTTTCTCTTGTATTCGAGAAGTTTTTCCTAGTTTACATGGCTTTTGTCCGAATAATTCAACTTAATTTTGACTAAATCCACTTTTGATGAAATTGAGTCGACTCGACTTGAATGTTGAGTTCGTCTGACTGACCGTGTAAGCACGTTTGGTTGTGGTAGTGCGATGCAAGTCATCCAGTATGTGTAGTGGTGAAGCATAACCGCAAAAGCACAAAGCTATTAATGCGCATAAGCGAGAGCAAATCAGTCGGTAATGCAGAATTATCGACTTGCTTGATGGATGGATGGATGATAAACGGTAGAACCGGTTGTTTGCGTAATTGATGATTGTTTTTCGTAATAATGGTCACAGCCTACTATTGCATTTTAATGGCGAATCGTCAGATGACTATCAGAGATGGACTTTCTTCCCTCTATTGGGTTAGGGGAACAAGAAGACACTTAAATATTAAGGTAGGGACTGTTTCTTTTCTGTTCTCGCAAGGAAACCTCCATCAACAGTGGTTTTATGATTTTCCAGGTACATTTATTGTGAAGATAAAATTCTACTACAACAATAAGTGTCCTTATGAGTGTATATTGTTATTTATTTAGATTTTTTTTTCTTTTTTCATAAATTTAATTTAGATCGAAGCACACGTCTGGATGCCCGTTCGTTATTTTTCTTCCGCTTGCTCAACACTACTAACCAATCGGATATAATAATGTAATTTGCATAAATTAACTCATTTAAAATTACTAAAATTAATAGGAAGATGAAGAAGAATTGAACTAAAATCCGAATAAAGAACAAAGAAGAGGAAACATAATTGCGTATTCGGCGGTCGAATGAAACAGTATAGAACTAAAACAACAAATTTTTGCTAGGCCAGTTGGATAAAAACAAAACAGGAAGATTAAGTTACCGGAGAAGTTCCGTTGTACAACTTAGTTTGTTTTTCTTTTGGATGGTTTTTGGTGTAGGTAACCCTTGTCAACAAATCCGGCATTTGTACAACGTTTTAAATAATGATAATGATAATAAAAGTAATAGACAATAGAAGCGAAACATAAATGGCTTGGTAAACTTTGATTTCTCCAACTCTTGCTCCGTTTTTGAAGAGACGATGCTGCTTGCTTATCTCGTTTCTTACAAATATAGTTTTGTTTATAGATTAATGCGTGTGTTTTTTTTTATCCTTACCAGGTAAAAAGGGTAATTTCAATTCAACAAATTCAAGCACTTTGGGTTTGTTTTTACATTGTCTGATGGTTGACGCTATTTTCTTCTTTTTGATTTTTTAATTCATCGATCCTACTGAGGCGATTTAATTCATGTGAACGCGTTTGTTTTGGTCCGTAATGGAGCAGATTTTGGGGGAATATTATTTCACTTAAGTACCGATGGCGGCTGGTTTCAATCGGAGAAAATTGCTACGCAATCCAGCTGCCTGTTCGCTGTTGTTGTTGTTGATTGGTGCACTTGTTTTCGTCGGAATGTTTACATTTTAACAAAGAAAAAAATAAACTATATTCAACAACTTTTCATTGATTTGCCAGGCAATCTTTGCTCTCAGTTGGTATGTTTGGCAAACAAAATTAAAGCAATTGACGTTTCACAAATTTGATAGTGATTTCAATAGGCGTAAATTTTTGGCTAAGAAGTAATGCCTTCCAGTAGGTTTGTGTGTTGCTGTTGTTTTTGCTCGATCGATTGGAAGATTCCCAGTTTTGTTTATTTGTTTATTTACTTGGGACATGTTGAGGGTAATAAAGAATTTGCTTTGGTCTTTACGTACATTTGCGCACACGTCCACAGTGGATGGTTTTTGTGGCTTTGAAACCTAACGATTTATGTATGTATATGCGATTTTTTGTTCTACACTTGGTCTTTAATCACTTGGCATTTTTAATATAATAGTTGAAATTCTACGAATTTAATATTTGCATTTTCCATCAACGAATTTACTAAAAATAAGAGTGAACAAAAATACACTTCAGAAAGGTTAAAATTACGCTTTCAGCTCCAAGTACTCACTCGCTCTCACTCTCTCTCTCTCTCTCTTTATCTCTTTCGGTCTTTGCTTTTCCATCTCTTTCATTTCCACACATTTGGAATAGTTTGGTTTTTCAAATATGCACTAAGAGGTGTGTGAAGAAACTTAAAATCTCAGTTTTACTTCCATCTCTCTTTATTCCTCTTTCTCTGCCTCGGACTGGTTGTGTTTCGTTTCCTCTGCCTTGAAATTGCAATCGATTTCTATTACTTATTCTGTTTTTCTTTTGCTCTAGCGTATGCACCTTACACGACTAATATCACAGATTCTGTTTACTATAAATTTTCCTCTTCTATTCGATTTGTTTTGCGCTCTCTGTCGTCAAATCTTGTCCTATACGTCTATTGTTTCTGATGTCGTTCTTACTTTTGTGTACACAGTTTGTAGATCAATGCAATAGAGGGAAAAGCTTTGATTGCGAGCTGTTGCGAACTTCCCAAGAGTATGAACGAAAGTAGTTTGCGAGTTTTGCTTGCTTTTTTGTTTTACTTTATTTATAAATTAAAAACGTGTTAATTTTGGCAACGAGTTGGTTTGAAATACAGCGAGTGCTCACGCTTGTCCGCGTGTGTGTGCACGTGTTCGCATTCGACATCTTTTGTCAAGAAACAAGCACGTGCACATACACACACTCAGACACACACACACACGAACACATAGGTTCGCTCGCGACGATTACTCAACCGTGCATTGGTACGGCCGCCGCCGCTGTTTGCTGTGATCGTTTTTAACTAGTTTCTTTTTTGTTGCTGTTGCGCTTAGAAAACATGCCAAACCGTCCATGATCATCACCATCAGCAGCAAACCGTGCACGACGAATACGACGACGACGGCGGAGCATCGGCGAGTTTTTCTTGCACTTTCACTTACATTTTTCCTCGTTTTTGTCTAGCGCGCGTTGCATTAGCGATCGACGCGAATATCGACGAGCACCGAACGAATCAGCGCAGCGCAAGTGCCTGCTTGGATGTCGCCTACTTTGTTTGCCTGCGCGTATGTGTGTGTGTAGGTATGTGTGCGCCGGATTGTGATTGACTTCGTAGAAGACGAAACTTGCGCTTTTTCCGCGATTTAATGAAGTTTTATAAATATTTTCCTACCGATAATGCGTTACTAAAAAAAAAAAAAAAAAAAAACATTGCGTTTGTATGCATGTATGAGTGTCTTTAAATAATGAAGCGTTAACGCCCGTGTTTGCTTTGTTTCTGCTACAAATAAGTTAAGATCAATGCGATTTTTGCTCGCCAGAAGGCTTCTGCTCCGTCTTGAGAGGTGTTCTTTAGTACTATTGAGGGTATTGCAGATCCTTACCGGCACCGGTACCGATGCGGAATGTTGCCGCCGTGCACCACCAGAGATGGCAGTAGCAACAGCGGCAGCGCAAGCGGAGGTGATGCTGGCAGGGGCTGTGCGTGGCGCTGGCCTACTTTCAAGTTTCCAGCGACGTCACCACCAGGTTGTGGAACACGCTACCGGTCTCACCGCTCATCATCATTGCGGCCTGGCCGCACGAGTCAATGTTGCCGATCAGGTTGCACCCGGTTGCGGTCGCACCGGTCATGGCGCTTCCGGCGGCTCCTATCCTCAGCGCGTCCATGATGACTTCGAAATCTTTCTGGTGCTGGTGGCTTTGGTGCGAGAGCTCGAGCGCAACGTTCAGGTCCGGCAGCGAGTGAAAGGGATGATGATGGTGGTGGTGATGATGGTGATGGTGGTGGTGGAGACCGTTGTCCAGGAGATCTACTTTGGTACGCTTGGCGTCGATGGAAGGCGAGGAATTGGAACCCAGCAGGTGCGAGGGGCAGTCATCGATTCCGGTGAGGAGCCGGTTGCTCGGCAGGTAGAATTGAGACAGCGCTTCCCGCACCAGGCGATCGTTGTCCTCGTCGTCCATTTGGGAGTACTTGCGCTTCCGCGATACCATGGCCTGTTCCAGCTGTTCGGCACCTTGGGTGATTTCCGGATCGACCAGTGGCATCGCGGCGTCCAGCGCACACAGCTCTCGGTCCAGCGTTTCCAGGTCAGTCTCCACCGAGGAGGATCTCTGTTTGGTTGCTTTGATTTCTTCAGATTTGTTATTATTAATACTGCTACTGTCATTGTTGTTGTTGTTGTAGTAATTCTTGCTCATGAGCTCGTCTACCCGCAGCTGATGGTTGCTGCTGTTTAGGTTTTCATTGTTTTTGTTGTTGACGTTGATGTTGTTGTTGTTGTTGACGTTGTTGTTGTTGTTGGTACTGTCGCTGTTGGGCTTGCCATTGGTGTCAGATCTGAAACGAATAAAAAAAAATAAAAAAATACGTTTAAAATTTAAACTTCAAGACCTATTTTCAATGTATTCCCAACAACAGCCCTTCCCAGTGACGTCAAGGCACCCGCCGACGTCACACTGATAAGACCGTACAATATCGTATACGCGCAATCCCTCGTCCCACTCGACAAAATTCGTTCCAGCAGTAGCTCAGTGTTCGGCGAATCGACAGCCCACGCCTCTAGAAATACCAACCGAGAGTACTCAGTAGGCTATTTTAAGCCCATCTTTACTCACTTTCGCCGCTATTTATAGCGACCATGGTTGATTCAAAATTTCTTCTTCCTACTGCCCGCATCAATCATGCACTATTTTCGTCCACGGGGCACACACTCTCACTCTCGCTCATCTACACGCGTTTGCTCTAGTTTGGTCCCACCGTGTAATCCCTCGACATTCGATACTTACTTGGCCAGTTGATTCAGCATCAGATACTTGTTCTGCTTCTCCCGCCGGATGTCATCCGTCAGCCGGGAGTACGTATTGTTGATGCAAACCGAGCGCCGTAAGTTCCGCTCGGAGTCCTTGATCCGTTCAAGCTTGTGGACGCATAGCTGCAGGATTCGCTTGCGAACCTCACGCATCCTCAGCTGGGCCGATATCATCGGTACCTTGGGTCGGTTCCGACGGATCGGAGGAGAGGTATGCGGTGGTCCAAACATATCTGAATCGTCCTCGGCAACGTTGGAGGTGTTGTTGCACGGCAGGGTCATGGTTTCTTCTTCTTCAAATGTTCCGATATTTCCACCGTCCGAGACAGGAGGGTTATCACTTTGCTTCTAGTTCACAATTGGATCGACAAAAATGCGCCAACAAAATATTTCTCTGCTAAATTACTCTCTGTGTGTGCTGTGGAGCAGTGCGGGGTTGATTCGCTTCTCTATTTCATGTCTTCACACTACCGCCTCTTCTTTGCTCTTCACTTTCGATCGCTACTGTGCGTGCAGTGCCCGTAAATAGTTTCTCTTTTGTTAAATCACAGTCTCTTTGCGCGATGGATTTCACACTCGTTCTTCCGATCGAGCTCCGGAATTTGCACGATCAGGTCAGGACTTTAGTCCCCGAAAAAAAAAGAAATAAGACAGTAGAAAACCGTAACTCTTGTCTCTTGACCACACTCACAACACAGTTTTTAGTTCACGCTCCAAATTCATTCACTCGCACTTTTTTGTTCAATTTTTTTTTTGTTCGATTCAAATGCCTATAATAGTTTCTCAAAGACACAGTCGGCCACACTTGATGGAAGGGAGCGTGCGGGATGGGTTAGTCTTTTTCGTCTTTCCTTCACACTTCTGTTCGCTCTGCTCCTTACGCTCTTTCGCTCTCTCTCTGCCTTGCCTCTGAACGGCAATTTTTCGTCTTTCCTTCACTTTTTCGCGTGTTTCTTTTAGCTTCGCGTTTCTTCTCACCGCGAACAACACTGTGCCTTCGCGCGAGATACGACCTTGCCGTTAGCTGTTTCTTATTAACCGTTTTAAGACACAAGATTTGTTGCTCCGGCTGCTGGCACTGCTTCACTTTTCCGCCCGCTGTTTCTCACTCTCTATGTCTATCCTCCACTTCTTAACATTCACGCTTGGCGCACGTTTACACACTTGCTGCTGCAAATGCCTCGCCTCCTAGGATTCGGGGTTGTGTTTATCGCTCGCACTCTTCTTCGGTCGTGTACCATTCACTCTATTTTCGGGGAGAGCTGTTTAATATTTTGTATAATTGAGATGTTTCCACCGCGGTGGCTTCCGGAAGCTAGTTTTCACTTTCGCTGCACACTCCACAATCCAGGTTCTTCCCCTGTGTGTCACGTATCCAATCAAGGGGGGAGTATCACCCACCTACAACCGGTCCACGGTTGACCAACCAACACTCCGGTATAGTCTCTACTACTGTGTTATCCTTTTGTGTTCGTTCACTCTTCCACTAGGACACTTCTTGACCACTATTCAGAGATCACTTTCTTCCTAAGGAATTGTTTCGCAAACAGTTCACTGTTCTATAGGGCACTTTCAATGTTCACCGTCTCTTCTAATATTCTAGTTAATTGTTGCTGCAGACCACTGCTACTCTTGTATCAAGTTGTATATTTGAATTGACACGCGACCTCGATTGACGGAAGAACACCGCTTTTGCGTGCTGCTCGTAGATAGGCTGTTCACAGACTGACCGACCGACCGACCGACGAAGGCGACAACACCAGCCGTAGTGCCAGAGCCATCCGCACACCGAGCGTGGCGACCTCCCCGTGCACGATGAGTGTATACTGCACTCGTTCGTTCTCCCTCGCTCTCTCTCGCTCACCGTGACTCTCAATCACTCGCTCATCCATCGATTATTTAGGTGCCATACGTGATTCCTTTCTTTCCCTTCAAAACTAATGTTGCTTTGTCTTCATCATCGTGTCGGTATGAATGAAGCGCTCACTCTCCGCACGAACCAACTTCGTCTTTTTTCGTATTCCTTCATTCTACTGTGTTTACACGCCCGTGCACTTGTGTTACACCTTCCTCGCGGTGAGTGCGGCACTCGTGTGCCAGCAACAACAGAGCACCGCACAGATGGGCAACGGGAAATCCTCGTCCTCGTCGCCATCGGTCGTTCGTTCATTCGTACCATCATCAATCAGCTGAGATGCAGACAAGTTTTCTTTTGTTTGGTTATGTAAAGTCTGTTGCTCTGTTTAATACTGTTCTTCTTGCTACTGCCGTTGTTGTTGTTGTAGTTGTTGTTATTGCTAGTGCCGTGCTCTCTCGCGTGCTTATTGGCACTGCTGTGCTGTGCGGTGGCTTATAGCACTTTCAGCTCGCTCAGCTCGCTCGCTGTAGGTCACTCACTTGATGGTGGCGATTATTGGGTGCCCACCGCAGTACAGAGCGAGCGAGCAGCAGTAAAAAAGGAATCGTAATAAAATTGTGCTGTAGAGGAATACCGTTTCGCAGCTGCCCCCGTGAGCTGAGCATGAGCTTTGGGGCGGCGAGCAGTCAGTGTGTGAGAATTTCTATGCCACTTGGCGTTAAAGTGGAAATTTAAACGATTGGTTTCCTGATACACTCGTAGCACCTGTGTTTGCGGTTCGGAAAGCCACACTTTCTCTATCTTCACGCCGAAGCCATTCTTAGTTTAATTTATAAAGCAAATAAATCAATGAATCTTTGCTACCAAATTATTCAATTATTCTACAAAATTTTAAACCCACTTCCAATGACAAACAAAAACAACAACATTTAGACACACAGGCAGTCAGTCGTTGGTCGTTCGTGTCTTCGTCGTCGATTCGGCCACCACCAGTAGTGCTAAGCGCTGTTGCCGTTGTTGTTGTTGTTGTTGTTGTTGCCGCTGTTGCTATTGCTATTTGCCTTTACCTTCTTCTGGCTCTCGCCTCGGCTTGGTGGCGGCGGGTGCCCGCGGTGTCACAGTGTGTGTAGGTTAGGTACGTACTACGTACGAATGAATGAACGAACGACGATGACGACGGTTGATGATAGAGCTATCCGCATAACGATAGGAAAATTTATGTTTTGGCATTTTTACATCGCACCACAAATCGAAAAGTCGAGTACCTCTTCGCTACACTACACTCGCTTCACTCTTTTGCCCTGGTCGATGTGCACGCGACGGTAAAGGTCTCGGGCATCCTTGTTAAAAATTAAATTATCCTCAATTTGAAATATTATCACTGATGTTTCTTGGTGAGATATTTAAATTTTCTAAACAACGTTCAGAAAAAAAACTGAGTTTCACACTCAAGTCTGTCAAGTCTTCACAACTCGATGTCCACTATTTCCATATCAAGTTATAGAACCGTAGTAAAGGCAACCGGTGAAAACTAACGATTTTGAATTGGCTCACTACTTGACTAGCCCATTGGTTCCAAGCAAATCGATTAACGTACCCCGTTAGAGTTGAAATTCTAGTACTATACTATGTTTGTTTTGATTTGCTATGAAAGTTTGACAGATAAAATAAGGGATTCGCGGATTTTCCTATGTTTCGAGGGGTGCATCGATTAGCTTGGGACCGAAGAGAGTACCAGAGCTGAGCCAAAAAGTTGAGCCCGTTTCTTCGGGACCTTCTAGTCTTAGAGTTACCTACAGGGGGTGTTTGCTGGTGTTCACACTGCTTGCACATGTCGAAAAAATTGCCAATTTAGATTTCAAAACAAAAAATGCTTTTATAATGAATTACCGGAAAACTATTCTAGCTTTGGCAGGCGTATTTGCTTTTATTATTTTAAATAAAATGAGACGGAGGAGGTGAACTTTGTGGAGTAGGAAATGGTTGCTCAGGAGGAGCAAAGGCAGGGATCTGGCTCATCTTGTCCTTCAAGAACTGCGATATTAAGACAAAAAAGGATTTCAAAACTTCGCCAGGATGTCGAAACCAACTTTCGACAAGCTAGTGGGAAAAGTTCTCAATAGATCTACATGATTCCTTGAGTTCTGAACATTTCTGTTAAGAACTCAATTCTACATATTTCTCTGAAGACCTTCGGGCGTCCCTGAAGTTTTGCATCTGTTCAATGGTAATTTCTCGGTAGTTCTGCAGATTTATTAGAAGTTCTGTGTGTTCTTTAGAAGTTCTGCAAATTTCTCTAAAAATTTACAAAGTTCCTGAATTCATGCAGATTTAAGATCCTTAAATATAAACAATTATCTATGTCAAAAGTCACACACTAACATTCCTTCCCTCTCCCACCTGATTGCAAGGACGTGGCCGGTGACGTTATTGATCTTTAAAGGTAGGAGTCACTGGAACATGTACACTGAGAATGGCAGGTTACTCCCAAGCCCCATTCAGTTGATTCTTTGTACAATTTCACTGGTTCAGATCAATCACGGAGTGCAACTATCGATACGTGCAGTCAGACTAAGCTAAGCTAAGCTAAGCTAAGTTAAATATAAACAATTATCTATGATGTTCACTAAATGTCTAATAATCCTCGAACTTCTCGAAAGTTATATAATTTTCTCTGCAGATTATCATGATTCATTTAATATCTGCAAATATCTCTGAGCATCTATGCAATTCCCTTAAGTATAAAAAATATCTAGAAATTTTTGAGCTTCCCCGAAAATTTAAGGAAGTTCTCTGAAGATCTACTAATTTTTCTGAAGTTGTGCAAATATCTATCTTCCCAGAAGTTCTGTAAATTTCACTTAAAATCCAAGAACCTCAATAAAATTCTGCAGATTTTTCAGTAGATCTTCTCTAAAGTTCTGTACATTTCTTTGTGGATTCTTGGACTTTCATAAAGTTCTGCAGTTTTATCTGAAATTCTTTGAAATTCACAAAAGCTCTACAAATTATCTGAAAATATTTGAATTTCTATGAAGTTGTGTTGTGTTAAAGATCGGCGAACTTTCGAGAAGTTCTGTGAGTTTTGCTAAAGTTTTTCAATTTTTCCCAGAAATGTACGAACTTCCTGAAGTTCTACAGACTTCTCTTAAGGTCTACGGACTTTTCTGAAGTTCTTCAGATCTATCGATTTCCAACTTCCATGGAGTTCTGCATTTCTGCAAATCTTGGACTTTCGTACTTCGCTTTGGATTTGTTTTTGGAATTGATGTACTTTTCTGAAACACTGAATGACTGAATGTCTGTGAAGATCTGCAAAATTCTTTGCAGTTCTACAGATTTCTCTAAATATCTACTCTCCTTAAGTTCTGAAAATACCTTTAAAGTTCTGTAAAGTTGTCTGAAGTTTTGTAAATTCCTCTGTAGGCTCTCAGGCTACCATGAACATTTGAAAATGTCCCTGCAAATCTTCTAAATTACCTAAAGTTCTCAAAATTTATCTGAAAATATTTGAGCTTCCTTGAAGTTTTAAATGTTTCTCTCAAGATCTACAAATTTCTCTGAAATCGTATAAATACTTTTTTTTAAGCCGCCGAACTTCCCTGAAGCTCCATTAAAATTTCTGACATTCTAAAAATGCACCAGAAAATGTGCACTCTTTCTTGAAGGTCTGAATTTTTTTTTTCTGAAGACCATTCTTGTGATTTTTCCAAAGTTCTGCAGCTTTGTTCTGAAAATCTACGAACTTTTCTGATGATCAATAATTTTTCAGTAGATCTCCAAACTTCTGTTAAATTTTTTACATTTCCCTGTAGATTCTTGGACTTTTCTGAAGGTCTGTGAAGTTCCCTGAATATTTACCAAAATTTTCTTAATAGTTTTACAAATTGGTCTGAAAATATTTAAGCTTGTTTGATGTTTTGAAAATTTCTTTGAACATTTTTCTGAAGATCTACTAACAATCTTGTGAATTTTTCTGAATTTTTGCAAACTTATTTTAATGTCTGTAAAATTTTCTGAAGTTTTGTAGTTTTGTTCTCAAGATCTACGAACTACTCTGAAGCTAATCAAATTTCTCAGTAGATCTCCAAATCTCTCTGAAGCTCTAAAAAAAACTCTTAGTGGCTTTCAGGCCTGCTGTCTGGCATGCTTATTATTATATAATACATACTTCGTATAATATAAACACTGTTTTGTTGACGGCCAAACACACTAGAAAATAAAAGTCAGTCAAATTATACACATTGAATAGTGAAATCGGTTTACCTTGCTGCTGGATGCCATCAAAACACAAATCAAATCCATGAAATTTTAGAAGAGAAAAAGTCAATATTTTCATTTCACTTGCGGTTATTTTGCTGAATGAGTCGAATGAAAATTAAACACAAACCTATTACGTTCGACAAATCAAACGTAACATCTGATCATCATCTCGGAAAAGTGTGAACGCAATCAGACCAACAAATTAGATAGTCTAAACGTACCTTAAACTTAATTTCATGGCTACTTCGATAGGAGAAGATGGGGTAATAAGAAACAGGGGTAGCAAGACTGCTTTTTGCAATGATTACGATTTAATTAAAACAAATTTTCCTTAAATTACATCTTTTTATGTATCCTTAAACTCCTTATGATTAAGCTATCGGTCCATAATTTGTTTCAATAGTATTTTTTTTATTTGAAAATAGTTGTTCCAGAAACTTTCCACATGGGTGTGGGAGGTTTCTGATAACAATGATTTATTCAATGTTTATCAACTGCTTTATGTTTTAGATATCTTCTAGAAAAGTTTATGTGGTAGTAACAGAATGATTTACTCAGTGACGATGATAGATCACCTTTTTGTAATGCGTTACTGGTGGTATACGATCTATCACCAAGGCTAAGTCCTAACTCAGGGTGGCGACACCTGGAAAAACCTGGAAAATCTGGAATTATCAGGGAACTCTAAATTCCCTGGAAAAA